CAACTGATGTAGTGGATCGTCGGAAGATGCGACCTGTAAGAAGGATTTGGATTTCCCAATCTAGGGAAGAAGGAGAAGAAAGCTTCAAAAGCTTCAAAGACTAAAATATATCATTCAATGGCTTTCCTATTACAAAACTTGCTATTTATAAAGCAAAAGGAGCATTCTAGAAGGAAATAACAACAAAATGGATAAAGTAATCCTAAGGACTATTCTAGCTTAAAATGCACCGCATCAGTTCAGAGGGCCCCGGGTCATAACCGTTTATCCTGCTGTGTCATTTGGCAGCAAAATCACCGGTTAGAGGACATGTATCACGTCCTTACTTGTAGGAGATTGTTTGTGAATGTATCCTAGTGATATTTTTGACTAGGCATTAGCTCTTTGCGAGCTGAAGTATATTTCAATTTGTCCACTTCGACAAACTGTTGCGGGATATCAACAGGGATACGGGATGAGTCGTCGGCTGCAGGTAATCATTTTTTATCTCTTTTTTATTTTCTTTTGTTTGTTACTCCTTGGCTGCTTGAGTACAGGTCAAGATCAATGTAATGCTATGAACTTCTCATTCGTTTGTTAGTGGGGTGTGGGACTCCAATTCCTATTGAATCCTACCGCAAGTTTCTTTTTAAGTGTTAGAAATAGATGTCATGATTGGCATCTGCATTTTACCATAAGTTAGTTAATGTGCATACCCTGCAATATGAGCTGGCTTTGTCGAGCCAAAGAGAGGAAGGAACAAGTAGATTCATAGATTGATGTGAAGAAAAATTCCCAAAACAAAGTAATGTCTAACACAGAGGGGCTAATTGGCCATTGTTTTCAAGTGTCCTTTCTGTGTCCTACGGTGTTGGAAATTTTATAGTAGAGTACAAAAAAAGATATACCAAACTATGTGTTCACATGTTGTCATGAAGTGTCTCAGTATGCAAGCGGTTAATGTTGTGTCCTGTGTGATACAATAAGCTTCTAGTGATATAAATATATCATTATAGTCCAACAGTTTGGCAATGAAGTCGGTTTCATCACCAATGGTGTTTGACTAAAAATAGAACCTTATAATCCTGTTTCTCCTTCTATGAGAAGCATTATTCAAATTAGAGTGGTTGATTAATGATGTTTAGTTATGAAATTCTACCTCAGCATGACAAAATTAAGCATCTTAATCTATAACAACATAGAAAAGGGGATAGCTAAAATACTTGTTAGACCTAATGTCTTGTTAAATTTGTGGGCTTTCCCAACACGATTGCTATGAACTAGTTTATGCCCGGTACTGCTGTAAACTAGCTTTGGGTAAATTATATGCTTAAATGAAGGAAAGGATCATGAAATGGAGAAAGCGATAGGTGAATTGGTTTTTACACGGAATTCCATCTTGTTTGTCTTAACCAACCATATTGTTATTTAAATCTGCTTTATTTTGTTCAAAGATGATGTTTTTTTAAAGCTTAGGTGCACTAACTGTCTAAAAATACCCATCTTACTATTATTATTATTTTTGTTCGCAGATTTATGAGTCATTCCTCATTGTTATAGGTTTATGAGGAGGCTTTGAGTGTTTTACCGTCTGTCAAGATGTTTTCCCTCTTTGTGAAGTTCTGGATTGATGTTGCATGTCCTGAGAGTTTGGTGCACAATGTTGGGCTTGAAGTTTCGGAGTTCAGTTTGTTTCTGAAGAGAGCATATGAAAAAGCTGAATCAACTGGTTGTCTTATTGAGGATCTTGCTTACTAGTATATTTGATTCTACTTGCAAGCTGGAAAAATAGATAAAGCAATAAAAGTGGCTGAAAAGCTCAGCAGTGGTAAACTTTTAGAGACTTCCACTGTATGTTTCTATAGAGATAAATTGTCTTGCAAATAAAATTTCTTCTTGAGTAAGGATGATCTCAACTACATATTTCAACTCCTGGAACGTGTGCTTAATAGGTTCTCTCTTTCTAAAGCTGAGAGCTTGGGGTTCATGGTATGTGGCGTAAGCTCCTTTTCTCATGTTTTTTCCACTGTTACTTTTTCCCTCTTTTTCTCAGTAGTTATCTTGAAAGGTTGATTGATATTGTTACATATGCATGTTAGTTTTTCAGTCATTCTTGCCAAGGTTTAAAATTGCGTAACTACGCCTCGAGACGGTTTTCCTCCGTGAGGCGAGGCGAAAGCCTCGAGGCGGTCTGAGGCGTAAGACTCACGAACGCAAAATTGCGTAAATGAAAAATTAAGGGTTTTAGCAGGAAAATAATAGCAATATTGTACCTTACAATAAAACATCTAAACTATATATGAAAATAGTGGAAAATAAGAAAGTAGATGCAATAAAATCATGTCCCAAAGTACAAAATCACAAAATATTAGTTTAACAAAACTCCCAAAATACAAAAAACATATAAAATGAAATCATATCCCATCACTAAATGGGTCTTCAAGTGAATCTTCTTCTCCAATTGTATCTATGAATACCATGTCATCATCATCTTCAACATGACTCACTTTTCTCTTCCCTGTTTATTAAGAGAAAAGAACATTATCATGTATTCATGTTCATTGCTCACTTGACATAAATGTAATGTAATAGCATATAAGAAGTTGTTGAATACCTTTACTTGATTGTTGTGCTGCAGAGCTAGTGGATGTGTGTGGTGTAGTACTAGTGGATGTGTCAACTTGATCTGCTTCGCCCCTCAAGACATCCACACTTAGATCTTCTAACTGTAAGTCTGATAATGACAAATCTGTTTCATCATCTATGAACCACTCATTATCAGATGACACATCATCACACACTAATGGGTCCTCATCATCCTTCAACCTCTTATTCCTCAACATCCTCTCTCTCAACCTCTTGTTGTGCATAATATATACGAGAGAGTTCATTCTGAGTATTGATAGCCGATTTCTTCTCTTTGTTTGCACTTGGCTATATGTACTCCAGTTTCGCTCACACACAGAAGAAGAACAAGTGAGGCCCAACACTCTTACAACAAAACTCTGTATCTCAGGGGTGGATTCACCAAATTGGATCCACCATTCAGCTGTTTTCAAGAAAAAACATAATCAGAACTGAATAAAGTGTTTTGCATTTACCAAAATAATTATACCTGGAGATCGTTTAGAAATGGTTGCTTTTGCTGCATTCAAACCAAAAAAATCCTCTTTATTCCGGAACAGAACAAGCTGTAAATCTGCAAGCTCCCTATCTGCCTGCTCCGGTATTAATCTTTCCATACAATGATATAGACCAAGCTTCACCTCAGGATTTGAAGATTTCTTCTCTGAATATTGAAATTGAGGGTTAAGATAATATGCCGCTGCATGTAGATGTCGGTGTAACTGCACCTCCCACCGAGCATCAACGATATCCCAAATCTCCCTATAACTTGCCTCCTCTCCTCCCAAGTTATGTGCAATCATCTCCTTGGCCTCATCCATAGCATTATAAATAAAACCCATAGCTGGTTTCTTCTCTGCATCCACTAAGCGTAGAACTTGCACTAAGGGTCTCGTGCTCAAAATGGCATAGGTAACAGTAGCCCAAAATTTATCATTCAAAATTATCTTTCTTATTTTCTTTCCCTCACTTTTCTTCCCCCAAGCAGAATT